CTGGTTAGGAGGGTGACATTGGCGCCAGGGCAGGACTGAGCCAGCCTGTACCAGCCTATTACCAGGGCTGCAGCCCGATTAGCTCAGGGCATTTGAGGAGCCAGAGGTGGGAAACCCATCTGAGTACAGGCTATTAAGACACTTGAGGGGAAGTGTCCACTTGGCCTGGAGCGTACAGTGGCCCTAAGGACTCCTTGGAGATGTCCTAACCCAGGGACAGCAGGTTTCTCTGATGAGAAATGCTCCCAGTGAGATTTCAGATCCCCCGCCCTGAACTTTGGCTCAGCAGCCCCCACCTGACTCCATTTTTGGAGAATCTCTCATAGTGGGGGAAGGGAGTTGGCCAAGGCTTTTGGAAGCCTTAGGACTAAGACCATGGGTTTCTCTGAGACCCTGTAAAATTATAGGATCTCAGACTGCTTCCACATTTGCAAACCCCTGGCCCCTGCACCACCCAGGGACCATGGGCTCTGCCGTACCAAGGGACATGGTGAGGACCATTGCAGTACTGAGAATGTCGGGGCTCGAAGGGCTCCGAGATGGCCAAGCCCAGCATTTCTCAAACTGAAGTACAGGAATGAGCTGAATGGGAAGCCCTTAGCAAGCTTGTTTAAAATGCAGATTCCTGGCCCTCCCCCCAGACCCACTGCAGCAGTACCCCTATGAGGCCAATGAACCTGCGTTTTAAACACATCCCCCAAGGTTAGTGGGAAGCCCACTGGAGGATGAGGCCTGGTTCAGCCTCCCTCATGCACAAGTGGAGAGCATGGAGCTAGGACGGGGTCTACTTCAGGCCACACAGCAGAGCCAGGGGAGAATCCATGGCTCTCCTGGGCCTGGTTGGTGTCCCTGTGGGTCTGGAGTCAGATGACCAGAGTCCTCCTGGCTCAAAGAGCCCTTCTTCCAGTAAAACTTCCCCATCTTTCAGGCCTCCAGAAGCCTTCCCCAGGCCCTGAGAGTTGGTTCAGTCCCCAGGCACCTTGCACCCACTTTTCTTCTGGACTTCATCAGACTGTACTGTGGCCATGTCTGCCTTTGAGCTCAGGGACCGAGCAAAGTGATTTCCCCAGTGCTCGGTCAGAGCAGTTGCTCAATAAAGACAGGTGCCCAGAAAATATTTGCTGTGTCCCAGAGCAGTGTCTGACCTTGGGAAGGTCACTCAACTTCGTGCCCCTGTGTGGAACAGATTCTGGTCCTCTGCTCTGACCATTTCACAAGGCCAAAGTGAGAATCAGCCAGCAAGCCAGATGCAGCGTGCTTGAAAGCTGCAAAGTGGCATCCAGATATCAGCTCTGCGTGTGGGCACTCACACCACCAGCAGGTTCTCACAGACTCACTGGCCATGGTGAGACCCTGCTGGTGGACTGGGCAATGGGAGAGAGCCCCCAGGGCAGGCAGATTCTGGAGGCTCCGCTTACCTTCTCCCTAGCATGGAGCCAGGGATGAGAGGTTGCCATGCCCCGACCCCTGCCCCAGCACAGGTCACTGCTCTTGGGGACTTAATCCTGCCCTAGCCCCACACCTAAGTCTGGAAGAGAGGACTTCAGCTATGCAATTAGCCGGGGCCCAGCAGGCAAGTGAAATCAGGCGGCAACAGCATTTTAAATTTAACCGTTCCTGGTCCCCATCTGTGCAGCCTTGATAAAGCCCGTTCACAGCCACAGGCTGAGGGAATGGTGTGCCCACGCCTCGAAAACTGTGAAGTGCTTCACAAGGGCACAAGGCGCCGGCCTGGAACAACGTGTCCTGCACACACCGTCCCTTTGTCCTTCTGTCTCCTGAGGGCATCCACCATTAACCCGGTAGTGCGAACTAGGAAACTGTGGCTCAGAGAGGTCAAGGGAATTCTTCGAGAGCTCACAACCAGGTTGATGGCAGAGCAGAGACAAGGACGAGGTCTTCTGACTTGACCTTCTCCCCTTCTTTCTGTCCCCTGAGCACAGTTCAGCTTTGAGAGGTGATGGGGACCTGGTAAGGAAAGTTCCTCTTGCTATAGCAATAAAATGGGAAAACTGAGGCACAGAGTGGGCAGCACTGTGAGGTCAGACAGCGAGTTAAGGCTGACAGTCAGGGCTGGCTGGTTAGTTCAGTTGGTTACAGCATGGTGTTTTAACACCAAGGTCAAGGGTTTGGATTCCCACACAAGCCAGCTGCCAAAAACAAAAAAAAGGCTGGCAACTGTCCCCCTCCCGCTGTCTCCAAGACACAACACAACACCTTCAGGACTCTGGTTCATTCATTTTCACCAAGCTTGGTTTTGTTGGGAGGCCGCAGAGGCTGGGAGTGGGCTGTGTGGAGCAAAGCCAGGGCCCCAGACTCTTGGATTCTGGGTCTAGTGTTCCCTCCCAAAAGTCACTCAAGGTTCTGGGATTGGACATTTATCTGAAAGGGGCTCTCAAGAGGCTGCCAGCAGCAGGGAGGGCCATGAAGCTGACCTGATGGGTGAACCTGCAACTTCACATAGGACTAAAGCAAAACCAGCACCTAGTCAAGAAGCCATCCTAAGATACAATTTCCTCTCACCTGGAGCTCTGGAAGAAGAGACCCAGCCATCAGGCAGGGGCTCTGGGGAAGGCATCCAAGCCTGAATCTCGAACCCAGACAGGAGTCTGGGAAGGAGCTTGACTTTGGAGGAAAAGCCCTGCCTCAGGAAAGTCTAACCAATGCCCTAAAAGACACGCCCCCCACCACCGCCCCACAGTTCCCTATCCCTTCCAGGGCTTGCCGACCACCTCCAGCCTCCATGAAGACGGAGCTTTGGTTTTATTCACTTGGCTTCTTGTGGGGTCCTTACAGTATGAACCCTCTTTAGTTACCCCAGTATCCTGTCCACCTTTTGGAAATAGCTCTTAAATGCCTAGGTCTTTTATTTTTTCTTTACATTTTACTTTCACATAATCTTTGACTTACAGAAAAGCTGCAAAACTAACATAAGAACTCCCATCTACACTCTACCCAGAACCACTAAGTGTTTACCTCTGCTCCATCTGCTCACCCTCTCTGCATATCTGTATGGGCATACAGTCTTTCCTGACTCATCAGAGTAAGTCACCGGAAGGTTTTGTCTATAACAACAACAGTCCCCTCTCCACTGCTGCAATACACGTGGTTCACTTCTGAGCACTTCACATCTGTCCTTGGTGTTGCAGTATGTGAGGTAGACAGTGTTAACTCATGTTGCAGATGAGAAAACTGAGGCACAGATCTCCCACTCTGCTGAGCCACTGATGCCTAAGTCCTCAGCATGAAACAAACAGACCCCATGATGCAAACTGTCTTCCTGATGACATGATCTGCTGTAACAACTTTTAAAAGCAAGAGAGCCATGCTGCCCCCATAGCACAAAAGTAGATCAGGGTCTGCGTGATCCGATTCTCTACTGCATAGGGTTGACTTGCGCACTCTGGGCGGAAGCTAAGGGCAGGGGGTGGGTGGGCAGGGTGGACAAAGGGCCTCCCCTCCCCCACTCAGCCTCAGGCCACCTGTGCACTTCTTTCCTTTTCCCTTCCTCACACTACTGGGATGGAAGGACATGGAATTTAGGTAGAGTAAGCATCACTCCCTAGGCTACCCCCTCCCAACCTCCTTCCACATCAGGCTCCCTCCCTGAAAGGCAAGGCCTGGGTCTAGTCTTCATCCTGAGAGCCCAGAGGCCTGCGGCCCCATGTAGAGCAGATGCATGTGTAAATGAATGAATGAATGAGTCAGAGACCTGAGTCCGGTTCTGCCTTCACAGACTGGGCAACTCGCCCCCTCTGAGACTCAGCTTACTCATATGTAAAATGGGGACAACACCAAGTACTTCTAGGGTGGTGGCAAATCATTAAATTAGATGAGATCTGTGGAGATGCCTGTGACGTGGGTATTAAGACCCCAGGCCAGATGTGGGTGAGTTTGCTGAGCCCTGCTCTGGAAACTGAACCAGAAAGTGGGGAGAAATGGAATGCAAAGCTAAAGATGCCCAAATACAAACAATGTGGAGAGAGTACACACACACACACCCCACATACAACACACACACCCCACAGTCACATACACACACATACACACATAATAAACCATACACATGCATGCACATACAGCACACACATGCATCCACATTACACACACCACAAACACATGGCCTTGCAGCTTGGCATACCTTCAGCTTAGCAGTCTCTCTCTGACAACTCCTTTCCCTTGGAGACCCTCAGAAGCCCAAGACAGAAAACTGGCACCCAGAAGCTGCCCCTGCAGACACAAACACGCCAATCTCTGTGACACATCAGTCAATACAGCAGAGCACAGGGGCAAGGAAAAGAAGGATGGTAGAAGAGGCAGGCAGCTCTTTCCAGAAGTAGACAGGGACAGTCTGTCTCACTCAGGTATGACAGAGCTGAAAAGCAAGGCATTTAAAGACAGCTGTACAAGTTTATCAACACCGGAACCATTTATACAAGCTCACATTAGTACAAGCAGAATGCCAAATGGTATGGGCACCCCTGCCAGCAGAGGGAGAGACGTATCTGAGTGTGTGCATGCGTGTGGGTGTGCATATGTGCACAAGTGTGAGTATGCATGTGTGTGTGTACCTGTGTGCATGTGGGCATGCATATGTACGTGTGTGTACAAGGAAATCACGGGAGACCAGGTAGTTTAATGCTCATGAGCTTCTTTCTTCCTGCACAGTTTAAATCATCCACGTAGTACCACCAACAGACTTTTTCAAAACTGGCCATGGCGCTAGGCAGAAGCAGAGGCTCAGGCTCAACCTCCCAGGCAGATGTTGCCCTGAGTCTCAGATCCCCAACCCGAGCCAGAACTGCTGGTCCTGCTCCAGCACAGCCTGGGGTGTGGACCCCCGCACACTGCAAGCCAGGCCAGGAGAAAATAAACCAAACTTTCGCTGCAGAGCTCCCCAGGCTTCAAGACATTTGTCTGAACCACCAACCAGGCTTCCCGCCGAGCACTTCCCTGAATCCCAGTGCTCCTGACAAATTAAAGAAGAAAGAGCCACTCACCGCCTGAAAGCCAGCCAACACAGTGATTATGCCATGTTTCCTGGAATGAGCTTTCCACACTCTCGCCGGCGGGAGCCATCGGCAGCCAGGGCTCCCACCTCTCCAAGCTGCTCTCACACCCTCTGCAGCTCCGTGTGATGCTTTCAAGTAAGTCACCACTACGTGAAATTACACTTCAGGGCATCCACTAAGGAAGGACACAGGAGGTGGGGAGGCTGGTACAGAACATTCAGGATCCACCCTGGATAAAGCAGTCAGGTTGGAGGAGCCTGTCTCCTGCCAAATGCCAGTTCGGCTCTGGCTGTCCTTTCAACTTTGGGGCTTGCTGATTGAAACGTGCACTCGGATTGCCCCGGACGCACATGAAAGACCCCAGGGCAGAGAAGCCCCGGCTGCAACAGTGCTGCTGGGCCGGCCCGCCAGTTCGGCTCTGGCTGTCCTTTCAACTTTGGGGCTTGCTGATTGAAACGTGCACTCGGATTGCCCCAGACGCACATGAAAGACCCCAGGGCAGAGAAGCCCCGGCTGCAACAGTGCTGCTGGGCCGGCCCCCCATCGCGGCTGACAGCAGAGATGAGAACGGAATGCCGCCACTCGTGGGCTGGGCTTTAAAGTGTCACATCAGATTTTCCATTCGTTGGCAAACCAAACAAAAACCAGCACACTGCCTCCCCACCCATCACACAACCAGAAACCCATCAGAATTCACAGTTAGCCAACCAGAATCCAGACGTGGGTAATGTCATTAAGAAGCCTGCACACCGCCCAGATGCCAGCAGGGGCTGGGTGAGTTTCCAGCTGCTGAGCAGAAGAAACACAAGACACAGCACAGATGTATGCAGACACAAAAGCATTCCTCCCATCCTGCCCCACAGGAAATGATTTGATGGATCAAAGAGAAGCACCGAGTTCTGGGTCTGGGGGGGTGGAGTGGTGGGTGCTCTAAGGTAGCTCTAAGGAAACCAGGCTTTGGGGGAGATGAACAAATGTAGTTTAAAGACACCCGACCACAGAACCACAGGAGGCGAGTCCTGCCTCTGGCCACTTTCAAGCCCCTGATTCCGTTACTAAAGCAATCTGTCAGAGAGAATGATGAAACAAAAAATAGAATCCAATCAAATGCTCCTGAGGCTGACTTTATCTGACACAGCACTAAGTCCTACATTCTGCTATTCACTTTGAGACCAACTCTCATCCCACCCACACCTCGGAACACAGATATGTACCTGGGTGTCTGGGCTTCTCTGCTTTTGGCTTCCCAAGTTGGGCACCTCTTTTGAAGTTGTGTATGGACACCCTGATACCTGCACTGAGCTGTGACGCTCCCCTGGGTGTTCGCTTTCCATGTAAAGATCAGACAGGCCTTACTCTCAGACACCATCCGAACTCGAAGCATCTAAGAGCTGGGTGTTAAATCCGGTCTCCTCAGCCCTTACTTTCCATCAACACAGGACATGTTCACGTCGACAGCCAGGGGTTCTAGTTTCCATCGCCTGCAGCGAAGAGCCCAGCCCACACTTCTGCCGCAGCCTCCCCCAGAGCAGACCTCGGGGCTCAGGGTGCCAGGCTGGAGGGGACCGGCTGGCCCGGTGACAGGAGGAGCCACGCCTGGCCACTGCCACCCTGAGGAAAAGGCTCTAGGGTCTCTGCCGCCCCTCTGTCCAGAACCCAGACTACAGTCCCATGCCATCCACCCAGCCAGAACCTGAGGACAAGACCCGCCATGGACTCAGGAGACCAGGGGCCCCTCCCCCGCCTCCGTAACAGCCAAGCCCTGCTCTCCACCTGCCTCCCTGTTTCTAAAATTCAGCTGCCAAAGCCTGAGTCACATCTTCCCACTCCCAGCAATGAGGGGATGCCCACCTACGGAGGGCTTCGATGGCCCAGAGCCACCCAGGCAGAAGGCGGGGGGGGGGGCCGTGGACACAGACGGAGGAGGGAGCTCTCCTGGGCTCAGCCAGCAGGTGAATGGGTACCCCCAGACTCCCACGCAGGTGGCATCTCCCCCCCCGCCACTGCCAGCTCTGGGGCTGCACACTCCGTGCAGTGGATATGAGACAGGGAGAGAGCCAGGGTCCCGGGTGGAGTCTCAGTTTCTCCTCTTGGAGAGCACAGGAGCAGGGGCAAGTCTGGTCACTTCCCTGGGCTTCCATTTCCTTACTGCAGGATAATACCGCCCGTTCTACCAGTCCTCACTCCTGAGCACCACGATGTTGATAGTCGGGGAAGGCTAAGGCCGAGGACTCTGCGAAACACTGGGATCCACCCCAGAAACTGTGGCTGCCTTAGGGAGCTGGAAACACAGCAGGTGGCACCAGCCAACATGGGCAGAGCCCTCAGAACAAAAGCCCTGGCAGGCCTGAAACCAGCAGCAGAGGCCGTGGGGCCTGGCTGCTCTGTCACAGGGTGGACCACATACAAGCCTGTCTCTGAAGGCCATGGCTTTGGAAACGCTTTCTCTCCACAGTCCTCCCCAACTTTTTCCCTCGATGTTTTATTATGAAAATGTTCAAGCATATGGCTTGAAAAAATTTCATAGTGAACATCCATATACTCATCACCTAGATTCTACCATTTCCTCTCATGTTTTTAAATTGTGGTAAAATACATATAACATAAAATGTACCATTTTAAAGTGTACACTTCAGTGGCATTAAGCACATTCAGTGTTGTGCAACCACCACCTCTATCTAGATCCAGAACACGTCCAACACCCCAAAAGGAGACCCCATACCCGTTAAGTAGTGCCTTTCTACTCTCTCCTCCCCCAGCCCCTGCAACCACCAATCTACTATGTGTCCCTATGGATTAGCCTACTCTGGACATTGTGTCCGGCAACGGATCGCAACCCTCAGTGTTGCCCCCGTACCGGACCGGGGACCGGCAACGGGATTGCAACCCTCGACGTTGCTCCCGCGCCTCGCTCAGCCAGTGAGCGGGAACCGGTCTGTATGTGGGATCCGAACCCTCGGGCGGGAGCGCTGCCGCGCTTCCCAAGCGGCGCACTATCCAGTGCGCCACCGGGCCGGCCCTGGACCTTTCATATGAATAGGATCATACTGTATGCAGCCTTTTGTGTCTGGCTTCTTTCACTGAGCATCATGTTTTTAAGGTTCAAACATGTTGTAACATGTGTCAGTGCTGCATTCCTTTTCATGGCTGAGTAATATCCCATTGTATGGACATACCACATTTAGTTCATCCATCATTCATCAACTGATGGACACGTTGCTTCCACATTTTGGCTACTGTCCTCTCACTTTTAAAATGAGTTTTTCAGAGTCCAGGGTCCTAGATTTCCTCTAAGGGATCTGGTCTCAAAGTTGTAGGCCCTAGAGGCCCCAAACTGAATGCTAATCCCACTTTGCCTTTCCATTAAAGTAATGCTCCCTGGGTGACCGAGAGAGGGGGTGCCTAACAGGCCCTGGGGCCCAAGTCAGAGATTAAAGAAGCTCAAGTGTGGCCCACAAGTGGGTCTTCAGCCCCCTCTGCCCAGGAAGGCAGCTAGCCAGGCAGAAAGACACCTACGAACATCCACACCAGCCCCATGCCTACACATACATGCCCTACACCCACACATACCAGCCCATGCCCCCACTCACAAGCCCCACACCCACGCACACATGCCCCACATCCACACACACCAGCCCACACCCACACTCACCAGCCCCAAACCTGCGCACACATGCCCCACACCTGTGCTCTGGGACCAAGCAAACCTGGGTTCTAGTGCCGTATGCACTTACTGGCTGCTCAACCAGCAAGTCACTTCCCCTCTCTGAGCTTCAGCATCTTCATCTGTAAAACGGGGATGACAATCTCTAGTGCCAAAACTGGGCTACCCAGCAGAACTCTCTGTGATGACAGACGTGTTCTATGCCTGGCCCGTCCAGTACAGCCACTGTCTGCTGCTATTGAGTACTGCCCAGGTGGCTACTAAGTGTTCAAAATGTGACTGGTGTCAGTGGGAAATGGAATTTTTCACTTTATTTCACTTTAATTTACAATTAAAATTCAACAATTGCACAGGAATAGAGGTGATTGCCCTGAGCCAATCAGCTCTGAGATGGATGAGACAGTGGGAGTAGACAATGCATGGCTCAGGCTCAGCCCTAGCTCCTGGGTCTCCCTCCCTCAGCCCCTCTGCTCCCTACTTACCCCACAGTGCCTGGGCATGGAGAAGCTTGGCCCCAGAGGCCCCCTTCTAAAAGGACAGAGGGTGGGTGGTCAGGCTGTCAAGGAACAAAATAGATGCCAGCTGGGGAGTGGGCTCCATTGACTCCATAATGACATGGGTCTCTGAACCGATGACCTCTCATCTCTCTGCCCCTGTTCTAGAACCCCCCTCCTGCGGTTTCCCCTAGCAACTCCTGAGAGCATCCCTGGAATGTCTGGGCAGGGGCTGTAGGATTGGAACAGAACCCACCCCGCATTCCTAACGTGGTGGCAGAGACCCTGGTGGGAATGTGCAGAGGGTCCTTGTTCTAGGTGGGACTGCGGGGCCAGGCACCCAGAGAGACCTTCCCACGGCCAGAAAGCTGCTCTCACAGGCTCCTCTGGGGCAGACCTGACTCCAGTTCTGACTTCTCACTTTGCACATGAAGAAGCCCAGACTCAGAAAGGTAAGGCAGTACAGGAGCTGGGTCTGAAGCCTAGGCCCCCACCCTGGCCTGGCCCTGCGAGAGCCTCCTGGGAAGCACTGGCAGTTCTGGAGCAGGCCAGGGCTGTGTACTTCTCAGGAGCCCTGACAGCATGGACTGAACACTGAGCAGGCCGTCCTTGCCTGCCCTCATCCCCTGAACCCAGCCAGGTGGTAGGGAGAAGTGATTGGAGGGACGGGTAATGGAGACTCCAGGAAAACAGGAAACATTTGAAGTGAAGCATCCTGACTCCCATGAACAGGCCAGAATCACCAGGACCTGGGAACTGATGCTGGAGACAGGCCTGTATCCCCCACCCTGCCAAGCCTTCTCGTGGCTCCCTGCTTCCCCCATCCCTTTTACCAGACTGACCAGAAGGACCCTCTTCAAACCTACTAGCATATCCTGCCTCAGTGCAAAGCCCCAGTGGCCTCCTCGCCCCGATACTCAGAGTGAGGGTCTGCACACTCTGCCCGGACGCCTCTGGGCCCGGCAGACTGGACGAGCTCCTGCCTTGGGCATCTGTACTTGCCATCTTCTCTCCCCTCCTGCTGGTCTCTGCTCAAGGGCCCCTTGCCACCAAGGCCTTCCTTGACCACCCT